CAACTATAACTATCAAACCTTCACAACAAACCGCAGCTAAACTAAGCACAGACTTCCATGAGCCATGGTAGACTTCCAGGGTAGGGGTCGTAGGACTTTGGCGGCTCGGGCTTGCAGGCATCCGAACTCTCTAGCCTCTCACGTCTTGGACAAGTTCCTCGAGTCCCTGTCAGCTGACCGGGCTTGCCGAATTTATGGACCTGAAAACTCCGGAGTTGGTCGAAACTCAAGCGCTCTACTACAGGGGGCAAGTCCCTCCAGGAGGACCTGTAGGGTTTGCAGAGCGTGACCCCAATTTTCCATGTCGCGACACGAGGACACAGCTGAGTCTTAAACTAGCACAGTGCTCGATTGGGGGCCGAGGCTAGGGCACATCCTCATATCCGATGCAAAGGCTGGAACAGCCACAAAAGGATCGATGAATAAACATAGGTCCCAAGGCTCCGCGGTCTACGAAGTGGACAAAGATATCGGTTACTTAACACAGCTTAGACGACGTTTCCTGGTGAAGTCCGGCTGCGCCATTTGCATGTGCATAAAAAGACGATTTCACAGATGTGATACTTTTGGCAACCGCCAATCCGCATCATCCCGACTGATAATCTGATAGCCTGACAGCTCAGCACTACGCCGAGCTAGCCAATATAAAGAACTAGCATGCGTCGTTACCAAAAGAAAGGACACCACGCCTGTAGATTGCCTCTGGGGTCAGGAAGATCCCGGTCAACCTTGTGCAGCAACGACAACTGACGTTTAATGATGGATCGAAGCGACCACCACGGACCAAAGCCGATTCCTGAAGGCTATCATGACGGGTCTTGCCTAGCGGTCGTGCTTGAAAAACTGCGACAGCAACAATGCGAACAAGAACTAAAGACAAAAGCTTAAACCGTGAACACAGTAAATCACAGGAAGCACTGAAGGCAAGAACACCAAACCATTTGCTAAAACAACTGCATCTCTATGCGCACCTCACCTCACCAATTGAAGAGCGGACTCGCTACCCGTGCACGAAGAGAAAGGCACATAACACAGAGGGATCAGTCTCAGTGCACACTGCAAGCAGTTGTGGACAAGAGCAACTAACCGTGGACACACACGCCCCCACATGCGCGAACGATGAATCTCTATCAACAGGGATTGCAGAAACAACAAGAGCAGTCTTGCCGCCTTTCTCCCTGATCGCATTGCAACTTCAGGTGCTTGGAGCCAAGGTTTTGCGGCTGATGATTGTCGTACTAGTAACCAGTAAATCTAGACATCTGCGCTGCAACTGTGACTACTTACAACGATGAGGAAGACCACTAGCCAGCAAGACCCCGCATAAAGCTGATGACTCTCATGATGAGAAGAAGCACCCAGCAAAAAAAGGGCAGGCCTTGACTGTAAGCAACTGCACATGCGACCCAGTAAGCAACAACTGTCCTGCAAGCCTAGCAGCTTGCGCGTGTCTTCCACTGTGAAGCCGCCAAGACCGCGACTCGGCAGGGGAACGGTTTCGACTCGCACACTCGCACAATCGCAGGCACGGCTTCCAGGTCCAGGTTTAGGGTTTAGGGAAGCTTTCGATCGCTCAGAACCTCTCCTCATACGGTTTCAGTTGCTCGCATGGGTGGGTGCCTGAAACGATTTAAACTCTACTGTATTCCGGCTATCAAACATGGAGGGATGTCGACAAGAGGACTTGAAATCCAAGCGGAGTCATAAACCTATCTTCCGATAAGGCTATACGTACGGCCGTGACAGATCAACAATGCACTTGTGCAAACTTGGCATTCTTGCATTTTCGCTGATGAGTTGCGGATGTTTTGGATCCGGCTTGACCCATAGCCTCCGCCTCTTCGTTTGGCTTGCAAATCACTCGACGAAAACTCCTTAATTCAGGCGAGGGTGTGCTCAGGCACCGCGCCACCAGGCAGCAGTGTCAGTGATCTGCAAGCGCTCCTGGCATGCTGATGGAATCCCCACGGGTGAAGTATTATCATATAGCTGAATATCTGACTATTGTTAGTGTTGTTAGTGTTAAAGACCTGGGAAAGCACCAAGTAAAGCCTAAAGGTCTGAAGGTCGTGGGGTGGTTGGTCAGGTAGTTAGTCAGATTCATGCTAACGCTTCTGGGGCTCTTTGGGGCTTGAGTTGCTGTGATCCGAGTTGATCCCCACTTCAGCTGCAACGTCGGCCAACCCTTCTTTTCGGCAGGTGTTGAGAATGCTCTTTCCGGGGCTTTGAAGCTGCCATTGCTGGACGATTGAGCATCCTGTATCAAGCCTTCTCGGATGCATTGCTGATCCCTTTCCTCTTTCCGCCACAGTCGGTGCGTGAAGACCTTTAGTCGGAGAGTCCCGGATCGGCCGTCGGCTGGTAAACCAACTTTTTTTGGGCCTTAATAATTAGAATAGGGATTTGGGGCCCACTATCCTATATTTATGATACGGAACCCCCAAAATAATATGGGAATTATTAAGGCCCCTATAATCAGGTATCAGACACTTTCCCACAGCAACGTAGCAGTACAAACGAGCTGAAGAATGATTTTAGAAACACGGCTCAACTATTACATGGAAATTACATGCGTCCTCCGCAGTCATATGTCGAACATCATTGAACCACTATGAATACCAATGACTCTATCCCTGGACAGCTCTGAGGCAACTGCGATTTCATGGACATGGAGATCCGCGTCAGCCTCGCATTCAAACTATGACTCGCAAAGCTATGCGAGTATATTGTATAAGTCATCGACGAATCTTAGGGATTCCGGGTCTTGTGGGCTAAAACGACATCACATCTTCATATACTCGCTTGGGACGTCGATATTCTGCCACCCTAGTTATCGAACAGTGCAAGAGAATCTAGCAGTCAAAGCCCCGTCTATACAACTGCTAATCCTGTTAACCATAAGAATAATCTAATCCATTTGGCAAAAATAGGTCACTGACGAATTAGCCCAGCAACGAAAGGAGGCCATAGTCTCTGCCCCGTGGAGAAACCTACATTGCTACGATAGCAGCACTTGGTTCGTGCTCAATGTGCTAGCAAGCAGGCTGGCCATTCACAGCGAAAATGGCATAAGCAGCTAGCCCAGCAAGCACCAGCCACATGCTAGGGCGGGAGCATGTCTCAGCATTGTGAACCTGGCATCGCAAACTCGCGAGGCGAGAAACGCAGCAGACTCGAATAAACCAGTGACGCTGGTTCTTACGTGTTTGATTACTCTTCCATGAACCTCAGGCGGCCCGGCTACCGACACGGATTACAAGTTATGGTGCGAGGACCACGACTTGCTTCTTCATCTTGCATCCTAAGTATCCTACAACCCAAGTCAGGCTGATCAGGCACAGCCGCTCTTGCATGGTGCGTCCGTGTCATGCGCAATCTGCCATGGGGATCCAGCGAACCAGGGACCGATTCGTGGCAGCTAGCCGGCGAGCCTGCTATCTTTGGCGAAGCCTCCATGCTTGATCGTGCTTTGCAGCTTCTTCATACGCACATCTGGCCTCGGGGTTGCAAAACCGAACTAACTGTCCCCAGCCATTCCCACCTCCGCAAGAAAAGAGACAAACACGCAACACTCCATCATCGTCATCATCAGAAACAGTCCTCAAAACCCTCCAATTCTTTGACATTTCTTAGAGACGGTGGGCAGCACAGGTCACATGCAACGAGTGATGTCGAGACGCGGTTTTGCTTGTGTTTTAGTGCTACCGGCTCGGGTAACACGAACCCTCAAATATTTGTTGAGTTTTCGTGCATGACATCACCCGGTGGCGAGAAAGTGTGCAATGCAACGTATCGATGAAATGCGACTGCTGTAGGATAAGAATGCCTGATCAGCTGGTGAAGTTGTGTATGAGCCGCCTCACTAGAGGTGCTGCTTTGTTCTGCCTATAGTATAACGTCAAAATAAATAAATAAATGAAAAAAATATATATCCACGCCCTAAGGCGGAGTAGACTCTCAATTCCAATTCCGCATCCTGGGCCTCCGAACCCGTCTGGTGGAAAGATTTTCTCCGTTCTCCCGGCCATGGCTGCATCCATTTCAGTCCTGCCCAGGCGAAAGATGCGAGGAGAAAGCCCTCCCACTCTTCGAACTGTTGAATTGAAGATGTTCACGGTTCAAGACCTCTCTTCACCATATAAAACCTGAAATACTAGACGCTGTTTAGACATATTATGTCGCCATAGATCCTCAAAGAGTGATACATCACCTCAACCACCAGGAACACGAGACGACTGAGAAACCACCAGAATCCACAAGGAGACCACTGAGAGATCACCAGCACACCGCGGCAAACACGCTTCCCCCAATGTGTTGGCGGGCTTCACTCACAGGCGTGACCCCAGTTTCGACCACTTGCTAGCGCGAGTCAGAGACACCTCACCACAACGGGAACCTGCTGTGTGCGCGGTGGGTGCTGCTTCCTCCGGTTTGCTGAACCTTCCGCATGTGCTGTGCCCGCTGGTGTGATCTGGCAGACTTCAGCGACACCTCATCACGGCGGTGGTTCGGAACCATCCGATTGATTCTCTTTTCACTCAACGTTGGAACCCCCTAGTGTGTACCACACTGCTTCGGGAAATGCAATACACCCACACGGAGCGATTCCCTCTCGAATGGAGCGATTATAATACAGACTGAATGTTCACCAGGACGTCTCCAATCTTGCCCCTGGTCAGCCAGCAAGCGGTCTATCAAGCACAGCTCAAAAGCTACACCTCTACGACTGCCATGAGAGAGCCGAACTGCATCGTGACCAACGATCGCCGCCGACTTTCGGAAATTGAAGTTCAGCAGTTACACACGACAAGATCGTGCATTATTAGCCATATGAAGCAAAGCAACATGCACTACCCTGTCAACATAACAACCAGGATCTCGAAATGAGGACTCCCAAGTACTACCCCCTACCAACGCCTGACTGGGCACCCTATCGGCTAGCTGTTCTTTGGATTTTCGCTGAAGATTCAGACTCACTCTGAATGTCAAACTCACAACTGCTAAGCCTTGACAGCTGTGGAGGTCTGCGAAATGTCTGAATAGATCTTGCACGAGAGTCCCGCCACAATGACAATCTCCAGGCACAGGGAGCGGACGTAGTTGGTCGACGCGGAGGGGGAGACGAACATGGACATTTCCGGTAGTGGCCACTGCATGTCGTGATGAGAGTCGTGGGGTGTTGCACCTCGCAGATGGTCGATGTCTGACCATAACTGGTTACACATCCACAAAGCCAGAAGCACAGTTGCGAAGCCCACCCTGCATCGCCAAGATTTCATCTGCCCTGGTTCTATGGCTTCTGCATCGGAACTCCTTACCGGACGCCAACAGGCGTGCAGAAGCATCATCAACAGTGGAAGTTGGCGGGAGAAATTCGGACCGACGACCAGAATGGTGGCGATGTGAAAGAACGTCACCAACAGGATCCAGGAAGATCGCAACCAGAGGGCAAGATCAGAGCTGGAGCTGGCGAGAAAGAGCAGCGACAAAGGAAGCAAGAACTCCACCAGGTTCACACCGAGAGACATGATGGCCATAGCCACAGGAGTCTTCTGGATCCATGCGGTGAAGCCTGGAAGGACAGACCTCGATAAACCTTGCTGCAATGCCTGCGTCGTCCAGCTTCCGGATAGCATGGCGCCCCAGCCTGCATATCGGAGCTTTGACAGCCCGGAAGAGAAATAGAACGGAATGAGGGCGCTGTTCATGAGAAACATACCAAGCCAGCCCCGCGCCCTAGGGCTCTTCTCCAGGGAAGGCAAGACGCAGGCTGCTGCCACCAGGAAATAGCAGGTGCAAAGAGACACGCAAACTGGCTGGAACATCGATCCCAAAGCAGCCATGACCACGTAGACCACAACTCCCCAAAGAAAGCAGCCCCATGAGGCCGTCCAGGCGCCTGGCAGGGCAAGGAAGGCACACCAGGACACCAGCACCGACGCCCGCAGGATCGAGAAGACTGTGGCATAGCTGTCTGCCGTGGCATCATTCAAGCTTGGCATGAAAATGTACGTCAGCCGGGGCATCAGGTCTATGTCGCCACTGGCGAAACCTGAGTGAAAGCCTAGCTCAAGCGTCTTACCGTAGGGGTGAGCCCGTACTCGCCGGATAGTCTCAGGCAGGGCGAAGACGTTCGTCTGCGGCGCCTGCAAGCCCAAGAGTTCGAGTAGAAGCAGGGCTGCGAGAAAGACTTTCAGTGATGCCATTGTGATCTGTGGGCCGCAGCTCCACCAATGGATAAACGCAACCTCCCTAGAAGGTGCCACTGCAGCGGCTCTGTCGACTCTGTCTTTTGGGGCTTCCTGGTTGCGAGCGAGACCGAAGAGACCCCGGGCTGCGCAGGGAAGGACGGCCAGGACGAACCAGCCAGAGCCGATGCCGAGCATGTCCTCCCGTAAGTCCAGCGTGGCCATGCTGGAGACCTTGAAGGCCGGAGCCAAAGAATCCGAGCAAAGAAGACCAGGAAACAAGCTGCAAATGTGTTCGTGCGAGCGCTTCCAGTTCGGCCACTGCAGCAAGGGCCTTGCGATTGGAATCTCCTCCGGAGTTAGCTGAGGTGGAGTTTGCTCAGCCTTTACACCATCTGCTTCGAGCTTGGGCTTAGGCGCCTCCAGCTGGAACTTGGGTCGACTGAAGGCCGGGCAGAGTGGAATCAGTGCCAGAACTCCGAGTAGTCGCAACACGGAGCCGGTCATACGAAAAGTTCGGTGCCCGCGGCGAGGGGTCTACCGTCACGGGAAAGCTTGAGAGCCATTGGCTTCCGAGACATTTCGCGTTTACGCTCCGCTGACACTTTAAAGGTTGCAGCTTTACATTCTCGCTGCATCTGTCGACAATGCAGCAATCAAGACGGTCTAAGAATATGTAGTGGCACTCCAGAAGCTTGTCTTCAACTTCTCCGATTACTGTCGCTGCCCTAACTACCGTGAATGGAAGCCACATGAAGCATTATCTCAACCCCTGCAGCCCATGAACATCCAAATCCACAACATGACAGCGCCCGTCTTCGTAGCATTGGCCGAGAAGATGGCTTTCCAGTTGCCATTCCTTTGGAAGAAGTTTCATCCGATACACGTCCGGGCGAGGCGTCCGAGAGGTCCGAGCGGATTGGGTTTAAGGGTCGCTGTGTTTCAGGTACTAATTTCCACATCCGAGGCCTATGCTGCTTGCACCATACTCACCGGCTCGCTCCATCACTAACCCACCGAGTCACAGAGACAGATAGATAGACGACTAGGTTTACACACGAAGGCAACCATGTACTCACAGGCACGCAGTTACAGGCAACCAAACAGATACGCTTTGACAAACATATCATAGACAGGCTGTCCAAATGTGCAGGCTTAGACAATCACAGTGAAAACACAGGCCAACACACAAAAAGAGCGCTCCAGCTGTAGCTACTGCTTGCAAAATCTTGCAGCCAGAGCATGTCATAGCTCTTGGCATAGATCAGTATCACATTCCAGAAAAAGGGAGATACTATGAGTAGCCTCAGAGAAGATTAGCCATTCCATGAACCGGAAATGAGGGGCCTCGTGATCTTCAGAACAGCAAATCCATCATCCGTGTGCCAGGCTCATCTTCCTCGATGCTCGACACAATGACGTCCTGCTCTCAAGCATTATCATAAGCCCTGGATGCCCTGCGCAACGAGTTCCCGGACATAGGTTCTTTGGGTGCTCGCTACTGCTGCGAACGCAGGCAGCACATGTGAAAGAGAAGTATCGACTTTGGGACTCATGATAATGACTATATGACAATCCAAGAACCGCTGAGCAATCCTGAAGGCTTTCGGGCTTCCGATGCTGACCTCAACCCGAAACTGGAAGCAACGCTACAACCCGAAGAGTTCTGCTCCCCGAGACTGAAGATTTTGGGACAATCTGCTGAAGGGATCCTATTTTTCAGCGCAGGGTTTGAATTTAGGACTTGAGACTGTCCTGAACGTCCGAAACTGTGGATACGTTGAGCCCATTTTGCCTTGGACATCTTCAAAAGCCTTCGCCACGTTACGCTAGCCTGCAGCAAGAACTCACAGTATATATATATATATATATATAGCCATCAGCAGCATCCCTGAGTAGTAAGCCCGAAAACGAAGAAAGTACCAAATCCAAAAGCAAGAAAGCAGCGATGCACCATCCATGCCAGTGTCCTCGGGGTCCACGCCCATGGCCTCGGTAGCCGGGATAGATCCAAAAGCTGCGTTTTTTTGTTTACTAGTTCATTGTTGGGTATAGGATTAAACATGTACATGTTTATTCCTTATTGGGTTCAAATACCCATAAAAATGTAAAATGTTACCCAACTATGACAAAGTTTAGGGTTCGCATGCCAAGTTGGGGGCAGCGCATCAGCGGAAGTTGTGCAAGCACGGGGCAGCAGCCAGAGCCACGAACCCCCTGCTAACACAGCGTCGTGCAGTGAGGAATCTCATACCCTTGCCTGTCGCGAGGTTGGGAACAACATATAGCAATATACGTATATATATATATATATATATATATATATATACACACACACACTTATTTCTTTGTTCATGTGCATACATACAGATATACATATATATATATATATATATATATAATATATAGATATTTATTTATTTATGTACATTTGTAGACAGAATGACTGAATACTTACTCTCCGGGAGCCTTACGATGGCTAACTCTTCGGCCAAGCTGTCCTGCGGCGGTTCAGGACTGGGATTTGATCAACTTGATAATTAGAATAGGGTTCCTTTTACAGGGTATCTTTAGGGCTGCTTTAACGGTCCTGCAAGGGCTCTATATAGGGGCCGTGATGATTAGAACAGGGTCTTGGAGTATAGAACCCCGCCGCCAAAATGGCATGGATAACTAATTTGCAAAAAACTTAAACAGCAACCGGTCGTATTGATAGTCATGAGTCAGAGCAGCAAAAGCAACTGATACGGGCTTAAGGCTTGAGATTCAGATGACTGAGAAAGATTTCGAGCCGGTGAGAGCCTGGGATACTGCAAGAACCTTCGTGTTGCCAGACGTTGCTCTCTACCCAAAGGCCCCAAAGTAGTTTCATTTTGGGGTTCATATTTAGAATCCTATAAGGTAATCCCAAAATGGAACTACTATGGGGCCTCGGGGTAGTGAGAGGCGTTGACTGTGATTTATCTTCCGCGAGGCGCAGCGGGGAAGGAGCGGCAGCAGCAATAGCACAACAGCATGTGACACGTGGGAGTTTCCGAAAATAGGGGTACCTTATTTTGGGGTCCCGATAATAAGGGTCCTACTATTGGGTCCCCTATTTTCGAAAACTCCCACTTACTGTGGAGGGTAAAGAAACCACGGGAGCACGAGCAGCCACAGCCCCAAATGCACTCTCCCCCCAAGCCTGTAAGCTTCCGCGACAGTGAACCCCTTGCAGGTTTGAACATGTACTGAACCCCCCAAAAAACCGACAGGTATCACACCCCAACAGCCGAGATGTGGCGAACCATCGAACTCCGGGACTTCCGAAAGGCTCGCCACACTATCCCATATCGCCCCCAGGGCTCTAAGTTCCAGGGTGCCTGGAGCTTGGCTATGTAGCGCTGCTGCCGTGAGGGGTCATGCGTGTCAATGACGGGCACCACTTCCTCCAACGTCCTCAAAGGCTCGGCGGACTGGTGCACTGGTGAGGCTCGTGGACTGGTTGGAGAGAGGTTTGGCCAACTTACAGAGTTTGTCAGCTCGGGTTAGGGCCTATCACTTAGCCTCCCAGGCTCTAGGCACCAGAGCTTCGGCCCCACAAATCCTGCCGTGGTGGACAGATGACGTCCAGCTCGAGGATGAGAAGTGTTGCTGTTGCAGGTCTAAAGTTGGATACTGGAGGCCGCCAACACCGGGCCAAGCTTGCTGCAACCAGATTAGAGCATGTCTTGGACCACCGTTCCTTCTAGGCGAGGTCGACACGAATGAGTCTTGCCCGGGTACCGCAAGATAACCGAGCCTAACTAGCTAGGCCCGTGTGCAAACTCACCGCTACAACGAATCCAACACCTTAGGGAACAGTGGAACCCCTCCCGAAAAACTACAGACATGCACCGGACATGTCATGGCCGGGATCGAGGCGGAGCCCAGTTCGCCAAGGAAGAGGCATGGCGAACCTACGTCGTATCGGACTCGGACTTCGACGCTCACACTCGCACAAGGCAGGCAAGCAGGGGTGGGGGGTTGCTATTGGATGCTGTTGGTAGTACTTGCCACATCTTTCGGCAGCTACTCTTCCGTGATGAATGCATTCTGCTTGCACTCCATTATGTGAGTTTCCAAGCCTGCCCCCTCCTCCGACATCCGCTCCTACTCTCCTCCTTCAGGTGCCATGTCCAGGAAGCTTCGGAGCACTTTTTGGCCTTGCGATTCATCTCGTCTCAGCCCCGGGAGCGCGAGCGGGAGGGGCGGCTCTTGTCGGATTTCTCGGGTTCACGAGCACGGCTCTGTACCAGCCAGCCTGGCGCAGGGGGTAACTTGCCACTCTCCTCCAAGCACTCGAGCATCCGATTTAGAAGACCTGAGGGGTGTTTGGCGGTGCCGATGCGCTCCTCCATGTCCTTGAGATCCTGGCTCTTGTGCTGTTTGCGCTTCTTCATGACGGTGATCAAACGGAGGAGCAGCCGGTCATCTAGGTTGTACTTCCAGGCAAAGTCCTTAATCTCCGGGTCAAGCAAGTCCTTGCCCACAAAGGTGCCGTTGCTAATCTCGCGAATCTTCACGAGCATTACGTCCACGGCCTTCTTGTTGTTCTTAACCCCTCTCTCCATGATGTGCCAAAGGGCCTGCATATCCTCATCGAAGTCTTCGCGGGTCTTCATGGCCTTGTTCAGCTTCTCACAGATCTTGTCCTCAATTCCGAAGTGTCGGCATATTTCCTTCACTCGAGAATCGATGGGGTCCGGTGGAGGTTGGACCTTCTCCTCCTCCTGTGGCTCCATCATGTTGTTCATCATCGCCGCCATATTCATCATAGCCATAGGGTTCATTGCCATCATTGGCATGCCCATCGGCATCCCCATGCCGCCCATGCCGCCGCCCATGCCGCCGCCCATGCCGCCCATACCGCCCATGCCTCCCATGCCACCCATGCCGCCCATCATCGGCATGCCCATAGGCATTCCCATGCCATTCATTCCAGGATTCATGCCGCCCATGTTCATGGTGTTCATGCCCATGGGCATACCCATCATCGGCATTGGCATTCCAGGGTTTCCAGGGACTCCTGGAGAGCCTCCCGGTACACCCGGAGTGCCACCGGGCACTGGGGCATCTCCGCCTGGAATCATGGCGTCACAGGCCGTGCGGGGTCTCTGTTGTAGGCTTCCGTTGGAGCTATGCAGCTATGCTTCCTGCTGCTTTTTGCTGCGGTCTTGAACTTCGCGAGAGATCTGCCACATCTTTGTCAGGTGAGAGGGGCTTGTTAAAGACTACCGGATCCTGCTGATGCTTTGAAGAGCGAGGTTTGTTGGAGCAGCTTTGGTTTGGCTTCCAATACATCGGCGTCTAGGACACTATGCCAGGACGACATGAAAACCATGAGAAAATGCAAGACCGTTGCATGTAGGCATTCAATAATGAGAGAGCGTGATTAAGCCGACTTGTGCACCAAACATCTCGAGCCTTAACTGCTGTCGACGTCGTGCCGTTCATGATTGCACCATGCAGGAGTAGTTGGGCCTGGCTCTCAGGCTTCAGGCATTTATGAAAGGTAAATGTCGTAGGTATTGTATAGGGGTGAATGAAGTTGTTACTATTTTAAACAGATACTGCCTCAAACCTGGAATGCGCCTTCCACACCATCAAGTGCCACAGTCTTCGGGCACCCCGTCTCTGAGCCTTCGGAGCTCTCTCGGTAGAAGCTTCCTCCTGGAGCTCATCCGTGGAAGGCGAACCTGAAGGGGATTTCCCTAACCCCAATACTGATGATGACACTAATACCCATAATATTATTAATGCTACTATTAATACTATTACTAATATTAGCCTGAATTCCAACTAAAGCTGAACATCATTTCGCTCGAGCGATCTGGAAAAATAGAGGAGGGATCACACGAACAACGACACGTATCGTAGCACTCACGCACAAGAACGCTTTTGTGGTATTCCTGTAGACTTGGTCTTGTGCTCTCTCGTTGCCAGTCCTGTATGTCGAATTCCCAAATTGCCAACCTAGCTCCACCGTCAGAGCAAATGTTGCGAAGCCGCGCATGTCCAGGTATGTGTGAGCCATACCGTAGCAGCAAAGCATCTGAAAAGCAGTGAGGATTTGCGAGTCATCCATTTGAGATCTGCGTTGCGGATTGAGAGCAAATAGCGCAAATAGCGATAGAGAGAGAGAGAGAGAGAGAGAGAGAGAGAGAGAGAGAGCGAGAGAGGGGGAGTGCGACAGACAGAGACAGAGACAAGCGGATGGACGGAGAAGGGCTGAGAGAACACATGGGATATCAACTATCATTTAATAAGGCAAAGAGTATAGCATTGAAATCCGCAATTAACCATTAAAAGAAAGATTAAGCGTACTAGCAAGCTTTCCTTCTGCAGACAGTCACTTGAGGTTCGGTGCCTCGCACATATGCCATATCCTCAAGAAGAACACTCGGGAGCTCCTGGATACAAAGCCGAAAGCCCAAATGGTCCATGAAGTATCTCCGCACGACCGTCTGCCAGTAAGGCTGTGGCGCTCCAAGTCCAGCTCAGATCCGACGGTCTGGATGCGTATGTATTTTCGGGGAAGGACTTGGGTTGGGACTCGGGACGGTTAGGGCCTGCCTGTTTGGTATTGAGGTCTGGTTCCGTGGACTTCAACTCATGGGTTCGGAGCTGTCCAAGCAAACAGAAAGACCATCAATTCAGACTGCATGCGCGGCGTGCTGAATGTATGGCCTGCTCAAGTTCAACATTGCGTGCATTTCCTGAATACCACTCCGAACTCCATTTCAGATCTACGGGACAAGCCATGCAAGGTCTTATCTTTGTGCAGCCCGTGCTAGCACGGCTGGTATCCAACCTTACGCGTTCGTGCCGTCAAGTCCTGCGTGCTACAATTCCACCTAAAGTACGGGAAATTCTTTTCGGCAGATGTAGTATCATATCTTATCATACGTTATAGTCAGTTATATTATTGTCAGCCAGGTATATTATTATTGTAAATATAGTGTTCGTATAATTATAATGTATACTTCCTACAATGTAACTCGTGTAAGAATGTATTTCCAAATACTACATTCATATTGTACTACACCCAATGTACTGAATATCATATTTAATATGTGCTCCGAGGCTCGCACCAAGAGCTGCGGCGGGGCTTCCGAGGTCGTCTTGCTCCGTCTTGGTCCCGGAGAGTTGTCTGCATGGCTGCTCTGGTGAAGGGCTTAGGTCACAGGCTGCCAAACACAGCACAGCAAAGTCGACTCCGGTCCGCTCAACGGGACATCTTGACCCCGGACGCTTGGCTACTCCTGAGCTGTAAAGAGCGAGCGGGCGAAAAACAAGCGTGGGTGCATATGGTTCTAGTCTGTTTTAGCGCAGCAGCTGCTATCTGACAGTCGATACCGGCCTTCCTGGGGAATCTCCGTGAAAACCGTCGCAGCGCGCGACGGCCGCAAGCCTATGGGTGTTGGGCAGCAGAACTCCTATATCCAGCCCTGCTGGTTTAAAGGGCTGCTACTTAATGGAAAGATCCACCCCGAAAACTCAGCATCCAACCCCTTAAACTTTGTGCGGCCGGGATTCACCTGGCAATCCCTTTCATCATCATGATGATCATCATCGTCTTATTCTTCGTCATCTTCATCATTATCATCATATAGGCATCATCATCATCCTCGTACTCGTCGTCGTCGTAGTAGTACGTAGTAAGTAGTAAGTAGTAAGTAGTAAGTACTAAGTACTAAGTAGTAAGTAGTAAGTCGTTAGTAGTAAGTAGTAAGTAGTAGTAGTAGTAGTAGTAGTAGTAGTAGTAGTAGTAGTAGTAGTAGTAGTAGCAGTAGCAGTAGCAGTAGCAGTAGCAGTAGCAGTAGCAGTAGGAGTAGGAGTAGGAGTAGTAGTAGTAGTAGTAGTAGTAGTAGTAGTAGTAGTAGTAGTAGTAGTAAACAGCAGCAGCAGGAGGAGGAGGAGGAGGAGTGGGAGTAGTAGTAGTAGTAGTAGTAGCAGCAGCAGTAGTAGTTTTTGTTGTAGTCGTCGGCAGGCGGCCAACATTTCCATAAACCAGGACCCGAGTTGACTACGGTTTTCAATTCCGGAATACAGGGCAAAGCAGGTGATTCGATCAACCCTGGTCTGAGCTGCATGCTGTTGTCTCGCTTCGCGTCCTGCGCAGATAGGACGGTGTGCCATAGCAAAGCCTGGACGATCCTCAACTACATCAACCTGACAAATGATAGCTTGCACAAGTTTAAAAACAGTTATTGTACTGCAGTAAGTAACCTCCGGTTTGTACAGGCGACATCGCAGCCACGTACCGTTTCAGAAGCTTAACAAGCCGCAGTTGTCATCTTTCAATATGACACGCGAACATGCGCTGCCTCCCAGCCACAAGAAGCCTCTGATGGCCACGACAAGAGCAAACATAGGGAACGAGACGAAGTAGTCTGAAGAACACATCTGGATAGAAGGGCCACTCTCCGAAGCAATGCTTCCGCAACGCAAGGCTTCACAGCATCCACATAGGAAGTGGGAGAGATGGAGGGATGGTCTTGTCCTGGGCGCGTGCTGCGCATTCCATGCTCATTCATCATTTTCTATTTGCTCTGTACTCTGGAACTGCCTCTACATGTGGCTCCTTGTCTTCCTCAAGGAGTGCAGGGTCTCCCTCTCTCCATCCCTCTGTATAAGTATACAGCAGACGCCAACATTGTACACGCGTACTTCAGATCCCGACATCGATCTTCAAGAAGTGACTGTGCGTCCTTCAGTGCCTGCCGCAGGGCGGCGGAAAAAGCTGCTTGGCTCAGGACAATCTCCCCCTTGGCGGCCTGAGTGCAAGATTCCATGCCCCATTCTCTCTTCAGAGTTTATGCCTGGAACTACTACTGATGATCCTGGTTGTAGCGCGGTTGGTCAATTCAAGTTCTTGCAAAGGCTTGCAGAGGCATCCTTACCACCGACAGCCCTGAACCCTGATGTGCCGGGAAATAAATGTCTAAGCCCGTCAAACAAGCGGCGGACTGAGCTTGCCAGGCTATCCATCAACCGCAGGCATGAAGAGCAGTGCAGGTGTGAGTCTGAGATCGTCCGAGTGAATGTTTGGAACGACTCTAGCGACACAGAGCTTGTCGCCCCGATCTTGGTAAGCCAACAACACACACCTACATTAACCCAGTACGATAGTCACGATGTGGTCGCATGTTACCAAGTCCCAACACACTCTCATAGAAGCGGATTTGCCGTCACAGAACCAGACAAGTAAGTCTTTGATCAGAGCTGCCTCTGCCTCCCTCTTCCGCATGCAACTAGTATCTCTGACTGGGCTTGTCTTGTTCTGTCCAGGTTGCCTGCCGCCTTCCACCTTCTCCCACTGCTCGAAGTTGCGAAAAAGTCTTTATCACCCCACGGAAATCAAAACCCGCCTCAGCCATGTATCAAATTTTCTCTGCTGGGTAAACAGTAGATTCGTAGAACCTCGCGAACCGCAACCATGCAGGCTTCGGAATCTCAAGGCTCCCGACGACCATGACGCTATCGGGCTGAGGCGGCCAGCGCAGGGCGGGCTCCAAACCTGAGCTCTTCGACCCTTTCCGATACGACGTGCGCCAGAGAAAGCGGGACAGAACCAAAACACATCATACTGTCGTTTTCGAATTCTGCTTGCCCTCTGCCGGGACACGCTGAACCTCGCTTGAAGTCTACGCTAGTGTCGGACGCACTCCTTGGATGCTCCACTGTCTTGTTTCGAAAGGCATTGTAAGCTCTGAAGGTTCGAGCGCACACATCGTGCCATGCAAATTCGATGCTTTGCTCAAGTGAAGCTGCCATCCTTCAACGGCGTTGCCCAGGGATGTCAACAGCATCTTCGCGCCAACACCGACAAAGACGGCTTGCTTTATGTCAGTCGTGCAGATCGGCCTGAATGTCACAAGTCAAGTCTGTGCTAAGAGCACCGCAGGCAAGAAGGTAATTGGCAGGAGCAGGCGTGACCCACCTGAAGATCTCCAGGGTCCGAAGATCATCGGCTCGGCTTAGGTTTTCGTTTGAGGGTTCCGGGTCTTGGGCTTCCGTCGATACTTCCGGCTACTGCACATGCAGATTCGTGCTGCAGCTCCTAACAACCGTGAAGCAAGCCTTCAGAGTGGAAAGCCTATCTTACGAGAATCCATTCAAGCTTAAGATCTGCGGCCTTGTCTCAGCCCCAAACCGCACAAAGCCGTAAAACCTCAGACCCTAAACTCAAGCCCTATGCCTATTACCTATAGCACCTTCCCAGCATAGGCTGAGGGCGAGCGACAGGAGCTCCCAGTGTGGAACTCCCCAGGCATCTGCGTCCTGGAGAGGGATTTTTCCCTCCTACTTAGCAAGCACGTGGCCCGCATTGCAGGAGGATTTAGGGTTCAGGGTTGTTGCTTTTTGTCGTTCGCCCTCCCGCCGCCTGGCTAGGACGAAAACTTTCAATTTGCAACGCGAGGTCTCAGGGCTTAGGGCATCTAATTCTTGGGCCCGCGGCTGGGACTGCACGTCACTTGTATGAACTAAATACAAGCCTTGCAACGACCATCCTTAGTACGAGTGCCCAAGAACTCTCGAAGAAACCGTCGCTGCAGGGATGCGACTGTGCTTGATCTTAACAGCATTGGACAGCTGGTTGGTCTAGGCAACTGAAACATGCAATCATTGCTCTATCATGTTCTATCCAGTTCTTTCGACACCGGTACCTTGATACCAATGCAGACACCACCTA